CCCCCCCCCTCCCTCCAGCTCCGCCAGCCAAGGCGCCCCTTCCTTGGAAGCCGAGCGGCTTCGCTCGCTTTTCGCCGCCGCCGCCTCTCGCAATATTGCAATATAGGGGAAAAGCAGGTAAGGGGGCGGCTGGGGAGCCGCGGGCAAGGAGGGGGGAGAGGGAGGAGGGGGCCGATTTGGGCCCGGGCTGTTTTCTTTGGCTTCCTTCCCTTGACCGTCCCAAATTGCAAGTAAACAATACGTCGGCTTAGATAATGCGCGAGTCTGAAACTACCGAGGCCGGCCTGCGAGCTAGCACGGAGGGCAGCCAGCCCCGGGCAGCCAGCTTTGTAGCGGTTCCTGCTTACAAAAGGGTTCTTCTTGGAGACGGGGCTGGTGGGGACCTTGGAGGGGGGTGGGGATATTTTCAGTTCCTAAGGGAGAGGCAGGAGGTGCTTAAATGAGGGTTTAAGTATGAGAAGTAATGTGGGGGAAATAGTCACGACCCCCCCCACCCCCCCCAGTAAACACTATTTTTGAAACAGTGGCAGAAAGGACCTAAGTGAGCAGGATTCAGTATTGCTGGTTCTTTTCAAAAATTCCTCTTGGCTTATAAGTCTTTTGTTCCAATCCAGGAGAAATCCGGTGAATCACCTAATTAAAATCAAGACATGAATTAAGCATCCATTTTTGTACTACAAATTGCCAGCGCTACGTTTGTCCCTCCCCTGGTCTCCATTAAAAAACACCAGAGACGTTGTTAAAGAGGGGCAGATTTTGCCTCTAGCTGCCAGTTCTGCTTTCTATTTCACTGACTATCCCAGGACCTAAATTGCTTGGCTATGTAATTACTAGAGTATAAGCCTATTTAACTTAAAAGCTTTCTTTTTTTTCCAACTCTAAATGAAACTTGATGAGGGCCCGTCCTTAGTTATCAGGGGAGTCAGTTTCTGGTCAGTCCTCTTGATTCATCTCTTTTAGATTTAATCAGCATTAAGGTATTGCTTGTCCTTAAGAGCTTTAGCTAATGGGGTTACTGGATGCTTTTCTCAGTGTAATGTTTCCTTTTCAAAAAAAATATACATATATATTTACCTCTCACCGAAGATGGGGGCGGGGAAGAGCTTGGAATCTCCTCCCTCCCTCCCCTTTTAAAAAGGAATTCGGAGCGATTAAAACGTTGGGGGAAACAGTTTAAAGACCTCGGGCAGGAAATGCAGATTCATTTGGGTTAGGGCTGAAATTGTAACAAAAAGCAATTCCTCGAGTAAATGCATCAGATAAATCAATTTACATAAAGGTATGATGCATTCGGATAAATGCAATGCTAATGGGTTTTAGAGTGGTCCTGTTTCCAAAGTCTCAGGGTTTTGTTACAGCTTAATTGGTGCAGTTCTTATTCTGGTTTATTGTGCGGTCACTGGACACACGTTCCGGGACTCTTTCGGAGGAAATGTGTTTAAAATCGGCCTATTTAAGGAACCCGAGTCCTTGTTTCGTTCCCTTCCCCTGGTTTTTTTGCAGCAGCCAAGTTGGGCCGGGGACAGGCAAAGTTCGCCCTCTCCCTTCTGAGGTATCAGCTGAATGTCTTGAGCAGATAGCCGGGAGCCTCGGGGGGAGCCTACACTCTCGGCTTACAGAGGACAAAGACAAAACAGGCTGCTTAATTGGCAGTAAATAACTTGATCTTTTTATAGAATAAGTGACTGGAGGAACACTAGGACTTTATTGGACTCAGGATTGGAGGCAACAAATTAATCGGTTTAGGCTAAGCTTTATAAATTGATTCCTATATTATACCCCAGTTGCCTCTCGTGACATTCATTAGAAAGAGTGGGGAATTTTTAAAAGCAGTTTTTGGTGACAGCAGGACTGGCTCGAATATAACTTGTGCATCCTTTAATAGTGCCTTCTCGCATATTATCTGTAACGCCCCCCCCCCCCCTCTGGAGGAACAAAGCTTTAGCATTTAAATTGCTGATCAAGGGCAGATTAGTGAGACCAAAGTGGAGAGTGTTTGTATAGGAAGTTAACAGGCATCCTAAAGTTCAATGATCTATTATTCTTGCCTGTGTCCTGAAAACCCAGAGAAAACACTCATTGATCTTCAAAATGAAATGAGATTTGGAACAATAATGGGAGATGGCGGTCACCACAATGGCATGTGAAAGGTGCTGTTTAAAATACGAAAAACCAGTTTCGCAACTTTACACACCGCACCCCCTCCCTCGCGTCCCCTCGCCTCCCCTCCCACCACCACGCTCTCCCTCTTCCCCTCTGCCGGTTTCTCCCTCCCTCCCTTTCAGAAAACCGAACTATTTCCAACTTGTGAACTGCAGCTGCACTTCCCAGGGCAGAGCTCGGGAGGGAACGTGGCTCCGGCGGGGGCCGCCTCCCCGCTCCCCTCGGCTCGCTCTCGGGGCTCGGCGGGGGCCGGGGAGGGGCTCGGCGCGGCGGTGGGTGGGTTTGACCCTCATTTGCTGGAGGCGGGCGGCGAAGGAGGGAGGAGGGGGCAGTGGGCGGAGGCGGGGGCTGGGAGGAGGCGCCGCGAGGGGTGGAGCGCGCCGCCGAGCCTCGCTCTCGGAGTTTTGACAGTACCCAAGCTGAAATTGTCAGCGGCGGCGAGCGCTGGAAAGTTGAGAGGAGCTCGTGGCCCCAGAACAAAGCTTGAGAAAAGTAAACAGGCGGCTGCTGCCGGCTATCCTCCCTCCTTCCCTCTCCCCCTCACCCTCCTGCGCGCCGTTGCCTTGCTGCTTCCTTCCAGCGGCTCTGGGGGCGGGGAGGGGGGGGGCACGGCTTCGTTCTCTCGCGCGGCGATTACCACTAACTTTTGCATCGCCCCTGTTTTGTCTTTCTCTCCCTGTCCCCTTCCCGCCCTCTGCAGACCATGGTGAATCCGGGCAGCAGCTCACAGCCGCCCCCCGTGACGGCCGGCTCCCTCTCCTGGAAGCGGTGCGCAGGCTGTGGGGGCAAGATTGCGGACCGCTTTCTGCTCTATGCCATGGACAGCTACTGGCACAGCCGGTGCCTCAAGTGCTCCTGCTGCCAGGCGCAGCTGGGCGACATCGGCACGTCCTGTTACACCAAGAGCGGCATGATCCTTTGCAGAAATGACTACATTAGGTAAGACTTGGCTGCTTCCCTTGAGATGGTGAGCAGAGCAATGGCAAGGCCAAAGGTTACCAAGGGTTTTAAGGAAAGGAACAGGGTGCCTGTGAGAATACGGTGTAACCTTCACCTCAAAAACCTGGTTGGTCTGATTTAAGGGGTTCGAGGAGCATTTGTTAATCTTTCAGTTTTTAATAATAAATTGACGGCAGAAGCCATACTAAGTAAAAACTCTTGTCCATCTGGTGGGACTGGGCCGTTAGGTGTGTAAAGGTTGGGCACTCTCCTGACCAGAATTTTAAGTGGTCTGCTCCAACTGGACCCTTGGCTGAAAAGTGGGAGTTAGGCTGCTACCTTAAAGAAAGGTAGGGACCTATGTAGAAACTCAGAGACAAAAGATTGCCTTAGAAGTAAGTGTAGTTAGAAATGATTTGCCTATGGTGATGGCTAATTATATTTACATAAGCTCTTTTAAACTTTTTTGAGTGGAAAACTGTGACTCATTCTTTGTGCTCCTTGTGAAAAATGCTGATTACCCATCAGTTTAAAAACTTGTAATTCTTCTCATAGTAAACTCCCTCCCTCTCCCCCCCTCCCCAACAAAACAAAAAAACCCTCAGTGGTAGTGTTTTTCTTTGTAGACTGTTACTTGGAGGCTTGTAATGCTCAGTGTTAGTGTGTGGTTTGTGATGTAGAATTTGCAGGTTTTTCAGTTGAGGAATGTTCTGATTTTGGGTTGTTGTTGTTGTTGTTTGTATCACTACTCTTGATCCCCAAAAGAGATTTAGGAAAAGAGGCTATAGAATTATACTAATCTTGCATTTTAAAGCAATGTATAGGAACATTCATATGCCTGTGTAAGCAGTCTTTTCCAACAAGTTTCAGTGCAATTAATGGAAAGAATTCAGGAGGTCAGGTGCCTATAGGATCTTTTCAGGTGAACTCAAGCTACTTAAACTCATTAATTTGAAAGGAGGCATTTGAAGGATTACACATTTAATTTGAGTAAATGGTTTGATAGACTGATGCACATGAATGCTTCTAGGAGGTGTTCTGTTTCAACATCCAGTAATTAAAAAAAAAAAAAACACAACAAAAAACCCACACGCACACCGTTGATACTAGAGAACCGTTGATATTAGAGAACCGCTCACTTTTACGAAGAATTGCATTCTAGTTAAATTTCTGTCCTAAACCGTTTTCTTTATAGAATATTAGTAGAAAACGTTGCTCTCAATGCGGGTGAATCAGTGGATGAGGTATTTTGTACAAAGTTTAGTTCCATTGTGATTCCCTCAACTCTGCATCTAAAAGTGCAAAAGATCCCAGTACAGTTCAGAGCTGAGTATGTGTATGTTTATCCCAGTAATTTCATTAATCTAAAATGATGGAGTAAAATGACATTTGGTTATTCCGATAATGCAACCTATGTCCACTCTGCTGGCATCCTTAATCAGCAAGTAAAAGAAATATAGGAAGGGAGAGGGCTTTTATTTTTAAATTAAGATGGCAGCATTAATTTCACTAAGTGTTCTTTTAGAAGTAAATGTTGGAAAATCAGCAGGAGCATGGGTGTAATGCTTTCTGGTCCTCCTTCCAAGCAATGCCAGGAGCTTTGACAGTATTGTAATTAAATAGAGAGCAAAACTGGTAAGAAGGCAGGGTAGCTTAAAGTGCAAAAATTGACAGTGCTGTTCAGATGCGGTGAATGGTACAGATTCACCTCATCTCCAAGTGCTTTCGAGAAAGCCTTCGCTTCTGATTACCACTAATTAAAAAGAAGATGGGTCCACTTGCATTCCCTCAAGACAAGTTTAGGCAAGTGGCTTTCTGGGAATCGGCTCCTTTCGCTATTCTTGGGACCAAACATAAATGCCCATTTGGTGTTTTCAACTGGCTTAATGGAGCAATGGAGGATGTGTGCCCAGCCCCGCGCCTTAATTAATTGGGTCCGTGTTCTCACTCTTTTTTCCTCTGATTTTGAAAACTGGAGCCAGGCTTGCTCTTGAACTAGATGCTAAACTGAGAACCTTAGATCTCTCCAGGGAGAGAGGAGTTCTAGCTCAGTACCAAATTGATCATGGCCTCCCACTCCGCTCAGGGCTCATCAGCTGCTGAGCTCCCCCACCTCCAGGCTGAGGAATCTCTGAAGTCTTCCTTCAGTGTTCCCTCCCTCTGCCCATCAAGATGCCGGAAGGGTGGGAAGGTGAGGAGGCTCGCGCGGTCCTTTTCCTCTCAGCTACTCCCTCCCCAGCGCCCCCCTGGCCAGGCCCACTTGTTGGAGGAGCTTTGAATTCTGCAAGGGTGGCCACCGAAGAGCGGAGTAATCCGCTTGCTAGACGCCAGGTGAAGGGGATCCTGGGGCACCTCCGCCCGATTGGGACCACAGGGCGATCTATTAAGGGGCTTTAAACTGCCTGACTTTGAGGTGTGATCTTTTGAAAACTACCAAGATATGGCTAAAAAGCTGCGGGGAAGCAGGGCCGGGAAGGTGGTGGTGGGGATGGGGGTGGGGGGGGGCACTGCTTTTCCCTAGTCCCTCCCCCCTGCGTGACCTAGTGTTGATTGGGCAGAACTGGTCTTCTGCCTCCTCTCCCTCCAAGATTTCAGATAAAGCCGCTGCCTTGCTGCAGCGAATCCGCACAATTAAAAGCTTTAATTAGTGGCTCCTCCATTTTCTTAGTTCTGATGGGCTTTATCTAATGAGATCTGGTCTCTGGCTTAGATCTGCTCCGAATGACGTGTCCGCAATGAATGAGAGCTGCGTCGCAAACAAAACATTTAATTAACAAAATTGGACTCTAAGAGAGGGAGGGAAAGACTGGGGGGGTTGTGGAGGGGAAGGGGGAGGGTGGATCTTAAAGGGGCCAACGCTTGCCCACCCCCGCTACAAAAGTCGGCGAACCTTGCAACTGTCCCCTCTCCCCCTACCCCCAGCTTCCGACCCCCCCCCAGCTCTATCCAAGCGCCACCAAGTAGCTTTCGAAACTCCGTTTCTCTTTTTCTCGAACCCTTCTTCCTCCACCCCCATCTCGGGCCCGAAGACTGGCGCGGAAAGTGCAGCGAGAGGAGGAAGTTCGGAGACCGACGGGTGGGGCCCCAGGTCCGGGGAGGGCGAGGAAACGCACCGGAAGCCCGGGTGGCGGTCCTCGGCGAGCTCTTTCTCGCTTGGGCCCGGCCGGGGCCGGGGAAGGGCCGGGGCCGGCGCCGCCCGAGGCCGCGTTCGAGGCGTCCTACGGGCCGGCGGCCTCGGGCCCGCGAGGGGGCGAGCGCAGGGCGGGAGCCGCGCGATCCTTCGCTCTTTCTTTCCCCCGGCTCCTCTCGGGCGTTCACGTGGCGCCCGCAGCCGCAGTGAGCGCCGCGCGGCCGGGGGTGGGGGTCCCGGGCGGGGGGACTGGGGGTGGTTGATGGTGGAGGGTGTGTTTGGGGAGGGGGTAGCGTTAGGAACCGAGGCGCCGCCAGACATCGAGTTCATTTCCCTGGTAATCAACAGCAAGCTGCTATATTCAGAGAATGCTGTCCCTTTAATTGAACAGGCTAGGTAATTAAATGGCACTTTTCCAATAGGACGTGCTAGGTAAATCTAATAGTTGGTTATTTAATATCACTTTGAAGTCTGCCCACTCAAGCACAATGACAGCACAGGAGCATGTGAACTATTAGCTAGGAAAAAAAAAAAAAAACCCAGGATCTCAAAAATTAATTAAATCGCATGCAATTTAGGGGGAACGTTTATCTTGATTTGTCATAACAGAATTAATTCAAGGCCTCCAATTCACTTGGGGGCAGATCTGTTACTCTGAATTAACCAAGCGTAATTTGGCTGATTTTTTTTTTTTCCCTCCCTCCCCTCTCTAATGCAGCAATTGCGATTATTCACAGCCCCCCTCTTAAGTATCAATAGCTTCTGGTGCTTTTAAGGTGCTTGGTCTCTAGTTATTCCGAAGTACCTTTAATGGACTTGGCTCCAGGCATAATTTCTGGGTTGCATTTCTTTGTTACATTTAATATAGCTGGTGCAGAATTTAGATTAAATATAGGAACCTGCTGGAAAACCAATTGCTTCTGGATCAGTAGCTGTGGATGTGCATTTTTCTCCTCAGATAGGATGCTGATATTTACTTGCAGGTACAAATGTATACCTTTCAGCCATACTTTTAGAAACGCACCTCTCCTTGCCTGAAAGCAGTTTAGAAAACACAGTCAGATAGTGTGCCATATTGCGTGTATTTGGCTTGAAGTAATAATGCAGTTGAAAATAAGCCCACCTATGGGTCATTGAAGTTACTAAAAGATGCTAAGCGTTATTACTAAACTAAAAATACAACTGCTGTCCATCTCTTCATGTCAGCAAGGAGAGTTGGAGCGGAGCTGGTGAGCAGTACTAACACTACATGGTGTTTTTCACATAGGAGCAAAGCACCTTTAAAGTGCAGAGGTTTGGTGCGATTTCTTCCCTTCTTTTCCCTTTTCCCCATATAAGGAACCTCTTGATGTTTGTGATTGATTGCATTGCCCAAATGCTGAAATATTAACGACCTTCTTGGACTGAGGACCCAAAGAAAGGAAACTGAAACCGATTCTGTCATCACAATTAAAGACTCCCCTGGCTTTAATTAGCCTGACCTGGGGTATATCTCCCCTTTGCTTGAGTTAAAGAGAAAAGAGCCCATTATAGTCCAGTCTGAGACCGATAGCTACTTAATTGAGCACCTAAAGCCTCGAGCCTTTTAAATCAAACACTGTCCTGGACAGTCCCCCTGGTTAGATAATTAACTCTCCAGCGCACAGAAACGTTGTAAAAAAAAAAAAGAAAAAGTAAAAAGAAAAAAAAAAACACAACTTTTCAGAAAAAGGGTGGAATTCTAATGGTAGCCTTCGCCTGTGATAAAAGGGGATTAAAATGTATGTAGACATGTAAGTTGTTCTGCTCTGAGGCAGCATGAAAGCTGTAGACGTGGAAAGATCTTAAACCCCATTAATAATGCTGTTCAATAGCACATCAGTCCCGGGTAGATCGTGGTCATTTTCAAACTTTGTAACTGTAATTTCTGACACTTTAGGAATCCCATGATTTTGTGGCTGATTGTTCCCTGAAAGGTTATGAAAGTGGCACTGGACAAAATAGGATGTATGAAAAGCTTTTGGATTACATACGACTGCCCTGATTATTAAAATACACTTAGATGTGGAA